ACTGGTTTAAAATCCAAAAATTAGTAAGAGACGGCTTGAAGATTTTCCACACATTCTATTAAAAAAAGAGATCATGAATTTCTTGCAGTAAAATCAAAAGAAAAAAAAAATTTTTTTAGATTTAATCTGTTTTAGCATGCTTTAGTCTACTTTAGTCTGTTTTACTGTTTTTAGTCCGTTTAACTATCATTTAATCTTATCTTCCAAGTTATTATAGGCCAGATAAACCGCAAAAACTTTCTATCTTACGCGTGTATGTACAGTGTGACAACCGCTTATCTACTGCAGTCCGATTAACCAAAAACAGAAAGTAGAAAGTTTTAAAATTAGTTATCAACAACCATAATTGATAGATAATTTGGTCGTCAAATGATCAATTTAGATTTGTTTGACAGAAAAATATTTAATTAGTTACGTGGAACTTAGACAATGCAACTATTTGCATTGGCGCATTTTAAAAAAAAATTCCGAGTTGTCGGGATTGTTATCTTTATCGTTATCTTTCAAAATGATAAGCAAATAAACAAATTTGATAAACAAATTTGATATACTAAATTTAGATTCTATACTACTTTTGTTACTAAATCTGTAACTGTTACACAAGGTTCTCGAGATTCTTAAATTCCTTTTAACTTGTCATTATTGTATAATTTTATTATTGTATAATTTTATTCACTATAATTGGTTGATCCGTTATCGTTCTTAAAAATCCGCTTGCCTTAAAAATTGCTATCTTTATACTATCTTTTATCTTATCAATAAAGCGGACCTTTAGATAACGCAGATAACTCAATTGATATAATTGTCAGTGTTGATTTGAATCCATAAAAGTAAATACAATCACTTGCGGTTATGCGGTTAGATTGCACATAATCTCTCCCATTCATTACGTCATTTTCAGATGAAATTAATAACGATAAATGATTTAAATGAAATTTTTCATCTTCCTTTCCCAATTTATAAGTTTAAAAAATTATATAAAACAAAAGTATTAATTACTTTACTCGTCAGATTATAATATTTATATAATATTTTTTTTTCTTTTTTAAACATTCTTTACCATTCTTTTTTGATTTTGAAAGTTGTAAAATAATGCCACCAAACGACGTGACGACTTTACCAGTCCAAGAATCTAAATCAACCGTCGTGGTTGTCGGACTTGGCATGGTTGGTTTATATTTTATCGAAAAATTATTACAATTTGATGTAAGAAATCAATTTAGGATTGAAACTTTCTGTGAAGAATCAAGAGGTAACACCGCATATCTAATCTTTTATTCTTTTAAAAATAGTAATCTTAATCTTTAAATTAATTAATTAATTAATATTAAATGTTTTTATTTTATTAGTTGCCTATAATAGAGTCGGTTTAACGCAATACTTTACTCATCGTTCTGAAGAAAGATTGATTATGCAGCCATCTTCGTGGTACGAAGAAAAAGATGTCACTGTTCATATGAATGACAAGGTCACTTTCATCGACAGATCAAATAAATGTGTCCATTCTTCTAAAGGCCTTATCATTCCTTACGATTATTGTATTATCGCTACGGGTTCTTACGCGTGGTTACCTCCACTTCCAAATGTGGATAAACCTGGTGTATTTGTGTACCGTACCATCGATGACTTAAATGATATGATAGATTATAGTAAGAATGCTAAGCGTGCCGCTGTTATTGGTGGTGGCTTACTTGGTCTTGAAGCTGCTAAAGCCTTATATGATTTGGATTTAGAAGTAACTATTTGTGAAAGAAATCCTTTACTTATGTCAAGACAATTGGATAAAAAAGGTGGAAAAATTTTATTACGTGAAATTGAAAAATTGGGTATAAAAGCTTCTTTATCATTACCTCCAAAAGAAATTGTTCTTGATGATGATGGAAAAACAAAAGGAATCTTATTCAATAATGGTCAAATCTCGGATTTTGAAATGGTGGTTGTTGCTGCGGGTATCAGGCCACGTGACGAGGTTGCTAATACTTCGGGCATTTCAACTCATCCTAAGGGTGGTATTTTTGTTGATGATCAATTACAAACAAATGATCCTAATATTTTTGCTATTGGTGAAGTAGCTTTACATGCTGGTGTGGTCTATGGTCTAGTTGCTCCTGGTTATGAAATGGCTGAAGTCGTTGCTTCTAATTTGACTTCTAATAATCTAAAAAGAAAATTTATGGGTAGTGACCTTTCATGTAAACTTAAACTTCTTGGAGTTCACGTTGCCAGTTTTGGTGATTATTTCGCTGGTGATGACGTGGCAATGTCTTTAGTTTATAAAGATCCATTTGGTTCAGTTTACAAAAAATATTTATTTTCAAAAGATGGCAAACATCTTTTAGGTGGAATAATGGTCGGTGATACTAATGATTATGCAAAACTTCATGCTTTGTATAAATCAAAAAAACCATTGACAATGGCCCCTGGTGAACTTATCCTTGGTGTTAAATCTGGTCAAGCCCCGGGTGCTGATGATTTACCTGATGAAGCTCAGATTTGGTATTTATTTGTTTATTTATCTTAATTTAACAACTATATACAGTATATATATATATATATATATATATATATATATTAATTATATATTTGTTTATATGTTTAATAACTATATATTTATTTACTTATTTATTTATTTATTTTTATTAGTTCTTGTAATAATGTATCTAAAGGCCAAGTTAAAGCTGCTGTTCGAACTCAAAATTGTCGATCTATTGGTGAAGTAAAATCTTGTACCAAAGCCGGTACAGGTTGTGGTGGTTGTATACCTATAGTGACCGAAATTTTCCAAGTAGAAATGAAATCTTTAGGTCATAAAATTACTCAAAACATGTGCCCTCATTTCGAATATACTCGAGCTGAAGTATTTCAACTTGTTAAAATTAAAAAATTAAAAACTTTTAAGGAAATTCTTGAAACTATCGGTAAAAAGGGTACTCATGGTTGTGAAATTTGTAGACCTGCAATAGCTTCTATTTTAGCTAGTTTGTGGAACGATCCAATTTTGGAACATTCCAACCTCCAAGATACCAACGATCGTTTTCTTGCAAATATTCAACGTGATGGTACTTATTCCGTTGTTCCACGTGTACCAGCTGGTGAAATTACTCCTCAAAAATTAGTTATAATAGGTCAAATAGCGGAAAAGTATGGCTTATATACAAAGATTACTGGTGGTCAACGTATTGACCTTTTTGGAGCTGCAAAACATGACTTACCTGATATTTGGGAAGAACTTGTTAACGCTGGTTTTGAATCAGGTCATGCTTACGGAAAAGCTTTGAGAACTGTTAAATCTTGTGTAGGTTCCACTTGGTGTCGATATGGAATTGGTGATTCTGTTGGTTTTGCAATTCGAATTGAAGAACGTTATAGAGGAATTAGATCACCTCATAAATTGAAAGGTGGTGTATCAGGTTGTATTAGAGAATGCGCTGAGGCACAAGGAAAAGATTTCGGTCTCATTGCTACTGATAAAGGTTATAATATTTATGTTTGTGGAAATGGTGGTTCAAAACCAAAACATGCTGTTTTATTAGCAAAAGATGTTCCAGAAGAATTATGCGTTAAATATTTAGATCGTTTCTTAATGTATTATATTCATACTGCTGATAAATTGACGCGTACAGCAAGATGGCTTGAAAAAATGGATGGTGGTATTGATTACCTTCGAAAGGTTATTATTGATGACCATTTAGGAATATGTAAAGATTTAGAAGAAGATATGTCACGTCTTATTAACACTTATCAAGATGAATGGGCAGGAGTAATTAAAGATCCTGTTAAACGAGCTCAATTCAGACAATTTGTTAATACACCGGAAACTCAACCTGCTATTGAAAAAATTACTGAACGTGGACAAAGACGTCCTGCAGATTGGCCAAAAGAATTCCCCGATATTTCTGAAAAACCTACTGAACAATATAAGCAAAAATCTTGGGTTAAAATAGCCCCAATAGATTCTTTCCCTGAAGATTCTGGTCAGGTTGTAAAATATTCTGATACACAAATTGCTATATTTAATACTGATGAACGAAAAAATTGGTATGCAACCCAAAATATGTGCCCGCATAAGAGGGCTTTTGTGTTGTCTCAAGGATTGATTGGTGATGATGAAAGTGGATCTCTTCGTGTTAGTTGTCCTATGCATAAGAAAAATTTTGCCCTAGAAACAGGTGAATGTTTATCGGGTGACATAGGATTGAAACTAATGACATTTGACGTAAAGCTTGAAGATAACCACGTTTGGCTTTATCTTCCACCACCTCAAGAACTTGATAGATTACTTGGAACTAGTAAATGGATGATTACAAAAAATCATGCAGCAAAGAAGAAATCAAAGGAGACTGGTGTACAAATAGTAGGAAGTGCGATGGGGTGTGGTAGCAGTGGTTGTGGTGATAAGAAACTGGATTGGTAAAAATTTGGAATTTTAAAAAATTATTAATTATAATTAATTCTCAATTATATATAAATATCTTTTAAATAATCATTATTTGTAAGAAGCACTCAAACTCATTTAATTATTGCAAAAAAAAAAAAACAAAAAATTATTTTGTAATTAGGTTTTATGAATTAAAATTGGTTTATGTTTCCATTTTTTTCATTTATGTTAATAAAATTTCAATAAAAAGCAACAAAGCAATTGACATATGTAATTATATATAATTATCGTTATCATTATTGTTATCCAGTTATTAAATTTTCGTTTTCAGATATAACGATCAATAATCAAAGAATTCTTTTTTCGTGTTAGTTTGCTATGATTTGTTTATACGTTAGACTTATAGAAAGTCCAAAGTCTCTCAAAGAATCACATAAAAACTCAATGATTCCGTTAATAAAAGTGTGTATTTTTTATAATCTCATTGGGGTAGAATAGTAATAATAAAGATGCATCTCGTTAATTTCAATATTCGAATCTTATTCAATTAAATGAGGGTCGCTATAGAGTTCATCCAAATCATCGTAACATGTCCAGATACACGTAGTATCGAAGTCTTATTCAAAACTTTCATTTTTAAATTCATTAGTGCCAGCACTATTTGGATTGAACAAACAAATCAAAACTACATGTGGTATCGTATAAAAATCCATTATCGAAGATTTTTTTTACAACCTACGTCAGCACAGCAGTACGTATAGTGATCTTGACAGCTTACTGTATATATGATTACTATTGAATATTTAGCTGATATATGATTACCATTATTAAAGAACCATTTTTAAATATAGAGGATGAATTATATTACTTTTTCAAATGGTTTAACATGAAATCAATCTTTAAACATATTTCTAACAAAGTAACGTTATATTTTAAGGCGTTTTCGAGCAAAAAAATTCGTCCTTCCCCTGAGCAGATACCCATTGTCTAACCATTGTTGGTAGTGCGTCTCATGGATTGCTCATGAGTTCATTTCATGCTGCGCAAAAAACAATTAGAATAATATGCAGGATATCAATACATATCGATGCCAAGCAATTTCACATCAATTTTTTTTTTTTTTAGTTAGTTTTTTAGGCGTAGAAAATTTGGTTTGTACAGCCAATATTAGAAAAAAAAATTATTCTTTCGCTATTTAACTCAATTTTTCTTAAAAGATTGAAAAAAAAAAGGATTAGCGCGAGAAATTGCTTGGCATCGATAACCTCCATATTATGATTGTTCTAATTGTGTTCTGCGCAGCATGTGAAGAACCATGAAGCACTCATGAGCAATCCATGAGATGCTTTACCAGACAATGAATATCTGCTCAGGGAAAGGACCGAATTTTTTGCTTGAAAGTGCCCTAAGATACGAATTGGCCGTCGTCAAAAAATTTTCCTTTTCTTTTCTTTCTGTCTTACTAAAAATTTTCATTCGAATTTTAAGTATAACATGAAGTATTTTAAGGTAACTTCGTTAAAAATATGTTTAAGAATTGATATATGCTAAAACGAAAAATTATGTAATTCGTTCTCTACATCTAAAAAAAAGCATGGTGGACAAACCCGAATTTGGTGATGATCGTCATAATTGAATAAAAAATTTTTTCTACCTTTTTATATGCGTTAAAGTACTTTTTATTTTAGTGATCTTTCAAAATCTAGCAATTAAATACATTAAAAAAACAAAGTAACAAGAAAAGCCATAAAAGCCTACATTTTATTAAAATTAATCCAAAATAATCCCAATATTTAATGAGTTATATTAGAAACAAATTTTATAAAAGATCGAAGATATCTTATGATCCAATAGGTAGAATTTAATAATTTTTATACCATTAGATTCGTCTCAATTAAATGAATCAAATGGTATAAGCTTCATCAAATTCTGACTACTGGATTGTGAGATATCCTTGATCTAGTAAATAAAAATCTTTCGAATTATTATAAACTGATTAAAAATTGTGCATGTGATCGGTAAATATCATACTTTTATTGGACAGATCGACCCTGAGCCAGCGTGGGAAGTTTGTGCTACGAGGTTTGTCCTGCTGGTTTATGTAAATGCTCCGAAACAGTGTTCCAACGGGTTTTTAAGCACAAGCTAACCGGTTGGAGCAGGATAACATCCCTAGTCAAAACTAGGTTAAAATGTGATGCTAATTATCACATGGTTTGGGACGTCTCAACAGTCGGCAACTATATAATCGTTTTATATTTGTTTATGACATATTATGAAAAAAAATTTTTTTTCAAAAAAAAATTTTAAACCTATTACATACTAAATCCGCATTGGTCTAGTGGCTAGGATTTCGCGCTTTCACCGCGACGGCCGGGGTTCGATTCCCCGATGCGGAATATGATTTTTTTTTTGGATTTTTTTTTAAATTCCATTATACCGACTTAGGCAAACTTTTTTGCAGATTTTACCAAATTAAATCTGAAGAAATTATCTTAATTTGGACTGGCATAAGCTTGTAAATTAGGTTTGATTTTATTCAGGAATCGTAGATAATAAAATATATAAACTTCTGGTTTCGCTTTTCGCAGTTTATGTTTATCCTTTTTTGGTATATTTTGTCATTTTACAAATTCTTTCTACTAGATGTCTATTGCTTTAGTATTGTTTAAGAGTTATGTAATTTGATTGGTTAACATTTATGTGTAGGTCTACCAGCTACAAAATTTAAAAGTTAACCAATCAGGAACAAAATGTATACTTTTATCAAATATTTAATTTATAAATTAAAATTTTTTTGAATTAAACATTATTAATTATCTGATTCACTATAGAGATTAACATTATTATTTTGAGATTCTTCGACTCCAAACCATTCGCATTTTACCCATTCTTTAACTTCCTCCACATCACCTAATGTTTTTGGAAAATTGTCTAATTCAAAATTCTCTGACTGTAAAATATCATAAAATGCTTGGTATGTATCTATTATACGATTCTATAGCGCAGTATAAATTCAGGAAAATAAATTGCAGTTAATGCCAAAAAAACAATAAATTATAAATTAAAAACTGAATAATATTACTACCTGAATAGACTTTAGCAATACATTTTCTGTATTACGATCTTCAATATATTCTGACATTTTGTTGATAATATAACGAAGCCGGGATTTAACAGCATCTTGAAAAGTTTCATAAACCTCGATAATATTGGCTAAAAAATGATGAAAAAATTTATTATAAAAGCTTTAAAGCAAATCTTCTTCATGTGCATAAAATTAAGTTTACCTGGTTGCGCGAAGGTTTGATCTTTTAACAAAGTTTGTTGATGTGCTGGCTTAAGATCATTTCTTAATCGGAATGTGGACACCTAGAGATCCAATTTGTTGTAAAAAATTGTTGCAATGATAAATATAATAAGCCATTTATTTTAAATAATTTTTACCTTCATTAGGAATGCTGATAATGGTTCAATGGCTGCTTTGTGACTATCCATAATGAACTCTTCACATATACGCTTCAACTCTTTATCGACTTCCTATATTAAATTCCGATTTTGTCTGTAATAGTATTACAAATAATAATATTAATAATAATGAAGGATATAAACTAACCTGTTTTGAATCAATCCTGTTCTCGACAACTTTTGGTATTCCCTTCGACGCCAAACCAAATAAAGTGGTTGGGCTAAGAATTGAATATTTATTTTGCAATATCTCGCCTAGTGCGTCTGGTAATATATGAATCAATCAATTTAAGGTCAAAAAAAATAAGATCTAAAATATCGCTTTAATTTATATCAAACAATAAAGTGATTACGTACTCGTTATTTGTGAAAAATCTAAATCTTTTTCTTCATGTATAAATTGTGTATCAAACGATGCTATTTGGTCCTTAAGTATCAAGAGATGCTTTATTAAAAAAAGTTGCCCATCAAGTCTGCTCTGCAGAATTTAATTGATTGATGTTAATAATAATCATAAATACTATTTGAAAATTGTTCTTTATACAATCATTGTAATAATCACCTCCTTTGCTACTATTTCACTTGTAGTTAGCAGCGAGTGCAAACATAGATCAACAACATCTTGTGCAATATCATCAAATATTTTAGGCTATCAGAGTTCATAAATGATTACCGAAATGTGGTTGATATTATAAACAAGCGATGATAGATGAAAGTTGAAGACGCACATTAACACACCGATAAAGTTTTGAAAGTACCCATAATGTGCGCTGTAACGTGGGGAACCATCCACGATAAAACTCTCCAGCATCGATAGCATTCATTGATGAAGCTGATGATACTGTTATCATAGATTCGATATCACCGTTATCTTGTTGAACCGCTAATATAGCTGGCGATGAAGATGGTCGTTGAATTTCAGTTGGCTCAGGGATGCCATTAGATGAAGGTGTCGCATTCAATTCTAAAACACTACGGCCATTACATGACTAGAATGATTAAAGTATGAAAAGCTCAAAATATAATTTCAAACCTTTTAACTTAGTAGGATAGTCCACATCTGACGGTTTTGGAATAAAATTTTGTATTTCGCTTCGAATATATGTTTGGACACGAAAAACAAGTCGTTGTTGTGCATCTTGAAGCACGTTACGTATCAAATAACTAAATTGCAATCCTTGTCCTTCTTTCTCTATTTGACCAATACCATGCTTAAGTTTATTAAGACTGTCAATTCTCAAAGATGTAATATCAACATAATTTTATACCTTCAATCGTTTCAGGATCTTGATTGATATGCACTTGAAGAATTGTACAAAGTTCTGATAAAACTTCAATATTCGTTTCATGAATAATACGGGGACGAAGATAGTCGTACATGTAACTGCATAGCAGATCCAAGTTTCCACTATCAAGCGCAAAACATGTCAATATGCATATCAAATTCTCGAGTTATGTAAAAAAGAATACTAATATATCATACTATAAGTCGTCTTCGCCCGTTGAGAAAAAGTTATAAAATAATAAATATTCATCTGAACAAAGATTCAACATATACGCATATCCGTTCCGGGCCTAATATAGAATAGCTAGTTTGAATATAGGAAAGAAATTGAATGACAACTCACTATTATCAAGAAAACTTACAAATGTCAAAATATCTTGCCCGTCAGAACCTAGTTCCAAAATCTTTGCATATATTACAGGAATGAGTAACTGTTGTCGTACAGAAAAGTACGCATTATAACAGTCATTTAACAAAGAATTATATCTATAACAATGTTAATAATTAAAAAGACAACTATACTTTTATATTAGAAGTAATATTTAATAAATAGGAATGTAACATACTCTCGATGTGCAGGACACCGTTTTTCCACCTCATGTACTAATTCTTTCAGTTTTGGTGCTACTGCACGGAACTTCACATAAAACAAGGCAGTTTGCACAGTAGAATTTGTCGACTTGTCATCCGAAATGATTCGAAAATGAATTAAGTATTGAATATGCAAGATTCAAGATTATATATATAAATTATATGGTACATACCTGATTTGTCTTTTTACTGATTTCGATACCAAGGCCTTTAATTGTGTTAATAAAGTACATCTTTATCAAAGTGATTCCACGAGTCATGCATTGTCTGAACCGCATAAGGTAAAGCTCAGAATCTCTATATCTTAACTAATTATTAAACAAACAATTCATGAGATAGGTGAAACAAAGACAAGTACAAAGCATGCAAAACTCAGACTTACATTACTCTGCATGTAGTCTAAACATTCATCAAGTTTTGCCAAAACTGGAATAAATTCTGACTGTTCACAAATATTTTCTCCGGGAGAATTAAATAGCTTAGTAATAGCTTCCAGCTCATTGTAATAAGAAAGTTTCGAAGATATTGCATCTGCTAATGATGTAAGATTATTCTTACGACAATATAAGTAAATCGATGGATTATTAGACAAATGTAAGCATTTTAGCCATACTATAAGGCCATGCAAAATTAATTAATTGGTTTTCATAATCCGGCCGGGTCAAAATTTGAAAACTTCTAAAAAAAATTTTTTATATGTTATAGTAACCGGGTGGGTTTTAAAAAATTTTTTTATATAAATTTTATAAAATTTTATATATGAAATTTAAAAAAAAAAGCCGGCCGGCCGGGTCTATTTTTAAAATTTCATGTTATGAAAACCAAGTAATTAAATTTGTATGGCCTAATGTAATGTAATATTACCTGTTCTTCTAATAATTTCTCACAAGCTGTTTGTAAAGCTTTTGTTCTTTCTTCTACAAATTTGAAGTTACCATCCAAATCATTAAATAATTTGACAGTTGTATCTATTTGCTCTAAGAAATTATCACATGCTTGTCTATATAAAGTAACCATTTCAAGAAAATTTCTAAAATTAAGGAAAATAACGCAAATGTTAATTGATTTAAAAGTTTAACTCAAGCAATTGAAGATTATAGATTTAGACATATTACATATCCATTATGCCAACCTATAGACATCCTCTTGATCCTTTTCCATATCATTTTCCATCCTCGCAAACCAATCAAAAAATTGCTGTGTAGTTTCAATTGGTTGTGGTATTCCAAGAACAGCATAAGGTGATGATGAGGTAGAGGAATTTTCTCCTGCTTGAGATTCTGCGGTCAAAAGATTAACTGTGGAACGTGACTTTGGAATGGAAAATAGGGATGATATAGAACCAGGATATGGTGATGATCGATGGCTATCTTTAATAGACATTGGAGTTGGGGATGATGTAAGTTGAGGTGTCCCTGAGCCAAGATCGCTTAGAAACTGAAATGTTCATATAACCGTATTATTTGAATTAAAAATTCTACACAAATTGATTGAATTACGAAAAAAAAAAATTAATTTGCTTACACCGTCAGGTAATGGTAATTCTGCACAGGCCTCTTGAAGTTCCAGCACACTCTGTTTTTGTACTTCCGTAAGTTGGGTTTTTGATTCCCATTCCTCTAATGTTATTCCTTTATTGCGTAATTGAGTTGTCATTGTTTTGCTATAAGTACAAATTATCGATATCTGATATATAAAATAGTAAAAATAAAATTTACTTCGAACACGAAAAAAATTTGTGATAAAAATATTTAAGTTACATACGCATGTACATTTAATTCATATCGGCACGTGTCCGTAGATCGGTATTTAATTAATAAATGGCAAAACGACTAAAAAAAGTATCAATATATCTCTAGCAATAATGGCTTCTCCACGTTCATCGGGCACAGCCGGCCGAGATTCACCAAATCCAAGCTTCAATGAACCCTTTCAATTTGATGAACAGAAGTTGTTATCTAATGTTGTTAACCCCGAGAAACAAGAATTATATGTTTTTAATTGGTTGGCGAATTTAGAAAAAGAGTTAAAGAAAACTGACAAGGTTTAGCCATTTTCATATTTATTTGAATTTCACTTTATTATTTTTAATTATTGATTCTCTTTTAGTGTTATAGAATTTTATCCATTATTTATTCATTTTTCCTAAATAATTATACTTTAGGAAACAGTGAAATCAATTCAAGCCAACCTTGAAAAGCAGCTATTAAAGTTTATGTCATTCACTTCACCAAAACCAAGTAGACCAATTCGGCAGCTTATTGCAAGATGTTTTGTAATTATTTATATAAAGGGTGATTCAAGAACTTTGTTTGATACCATCACTACTTTACAAAGCTTTGTTAATGCTGGAAAAGGTGCTGCTGAAAAAGAAAAGAAATTGTAAGTATTTGCTTTATTTCGCGACAAAAATCTTAATTTTACATTTCTTAAAACGATATTCATATAATTTGTAGGGTAGCTTTACATTGTGTCGGCATTATTATGAAATCAATTGGAGATCGCGTTTTGTCATTGCTTCCCGAAACAATCAATATTTGCCTCAAGACTACTAAGAATACAGCCAATGTTAGTGTGTGCTTAAACTATTTATCAAAAAAAATACAAGATTACATAGGTTATACTAATTATGTTCAATAATATTTAGCCGCTAATTATTCGTTTGGAAGCAATTAATACAATTACCAGAGCGCTTGAAGGAGCAGCTAAAGGAGCAACAGAATTATTTATAAAGGACATTATGAAACAATTAAGAGCCGGATTGAATGATAAGGCCTTGATAATTAGAGATGCAACTATCAAGGTATTTGTGAGAATCAAGTTTAAATGCATATATTCTAATAATCATTATTTCTGACATTCCTTATTTCCTTATTATAGTGCATGCATTCAGTAGCCAAGAATACACATCAACTCTATCCAATTACAGCTAATGAATTAGATCAATTGATTTCTCAGATGGTCAAAGTACTTGATGGTTCTAATCAAACTATCCGTCGTTCTGTAGCTGCATATATATCGACTTTGCTTGCAGGGACACAAGGAGAAGTAGACTTCTTAGCATCCTCAACTGTAACCAAAAATAAAACTTCCACCACATCACATCCTAGCTCGCATTCCTCACAAACACCAGGAAGTCCTACTCTCGGTTCTTCATCAGATCCTGTTAAGGTTGTTTTATCTGTCGAAGAGATGTTAACACATTTATCCTCAATTTATAATAAACCATCTACGCGAGAAGTGCGTTCTGCAATTATTGAAACTTATTCAGCTCTCTTTATTAAATTGGGAACTAAATATGTGGAATTGAATTATGCGGAAATTGCTCGACATTTGTTGAAAGAACTTGTGTCCCATCCTAAAAATGCAAATTCTCGATATGATACACTCAGTGTACGTGAACACTGTGGATTGCTGTTACGCGATGTTATTGGTACAAGACTACTAAGCGAACAAGGTCAAGTGACAGCTGTTCGAGAGCTAGTACATAACTGGGTCAAACAATGGTCAGCGTCGACGCACACTCAAGTTGAACCAACAAAATTGTCTCTTGTATGTGCTGTCAATGAGATATCTGGATTATTGCTAGATCTAGGAGGAGCAGCTAGCACTGTTTCGGTATTGTATATAAGTTTCATCTTAATAAATAGAGTAAATTTACTATCATTATTAAGAATAAATGCTTATAATTGTAACTACTCATATCTGTTAAAAGGATATACTTGTAGATCCATTGATTAATCTTTTAAGCCACCCAAGTTACTCTGTACAGATTACAGCTGCATGGTGTCTTCGATGCTTTTGTTATTCTCTGCCTATCAAATTATCAGAACTTATTAAAAAAATCCTTTCTCTTGTCAACAAAGATTTGAACAACTTAACAAATAATTCTGTTTCATCAGATTTACCGAAACGAACATTGGGCCATGCTTATGGACTAGCGGCACTTTTAAGTGTAGTGCCTGCTCGCCCACTTTATGTTTCATTTGAATTAAGCGCACGTGTGTTCTCTATTTCAACGCAACTTATCAAATCGAGCGCTAACAAGGACCTTGCAATTGCTAGTATACATTTACAAGTTGCATGGATTCTTATAGGATCCTTAATGTGTTTAGGGCCCAATTTTGTTAAATTACATCTTCCACAATTACTTTTACTGTGGAAAACAGCCTTACCTAAACCAGTTTCTAAAGACTTTGTGTCTAATCGTACAGAATCTGAGTTGATATTCATGTTACATGTACGAGAATGTGTTTTAGGAGCTATGCTTAGCTGTTTATTACATAACTCCAAGCTGATAACTCCTGATGTAGCTAAGCGACTGGTAGCTTTACTGAACAATACTCTAATTTTTTCAACCTTAGTTGCTACTTCATCTAATAACATAAATACACAAAGTAATTCTGCTACTTCGGTTGCGCATCAATTCCCTTCAACTTCATTAAAGTTCTCTGATCGTGAAAATATGTTAAAACGAAGAATACTTCAATGCTTCATTGCTATTAGGCCAATATCCTCCTATGATAATCTCAGTTCACAACTCCTGAAAATGTGTTTATCGCATTTTGCAGATCCAGAAAAAAACATCGGTTCTACCATCACAGCTGCTATTGCTGCAGTGTCAGGATCTTTTACTAGCGTCTGGACTACTGGTGATGAATACGCTTATGGTGTTAGTAGTAGATTACAAGGAATGACTGTTGATATTGCAAATGTTATCGATAATGATCAGGACGAAAATAGACGCGGAGTTGCGGTAAGAGATTGGCTTAACCGAGATTTGATCGAAAGCCGCCTAGAAAATCAGGTAATACATTGAATATTCAAGAATTCCATGTTCGAGTTGCAAATTTGTTATTATGCACGTATAACCGTGAATAACGCTCGTAAACGGAATTTATGGCATTTGTACATTGGGCTCTAAAAAAATGCACCGAGATGACGTATAAGTGAATGAAATAACGCGTAAACGAATGAATAACGCGTAAGTAAATGAGATAACGCGTAAATGTATGAAATAACGCGTAAATAGATGAAGTAACGTATAAATTGGATAAAGAAACGCGTAAATAGATAAAATGGATAAAATACGCTCGAACCTTATTTCGCGGTTATACGGATATAATTTCATGTGCAATGTTCTTTTATTTAATATTTGCATAATATTTTACAGCTTGAGCAGCCAATCATTGGGGCTCCAGAATATGATTCCATAATGATATATACCACATACTGGATATCACCTGCAAATTCAATTACATTTCAAATACCAAAACCTGTTCCAGCCGCATCAGCATTGGTAGATTATAGCATTGAGCTTTTTGCATTAATTTTTCCATTACAGAGCGCGCTTGTGCAAGAATCGCATTTGGAACAACTGATCAAAGCAGTGAGACATCCAAAACTAGAAAAAAGCCCAGGAAGGAAAATGGCCCTTCAAGTAAATATGGTTGTATGTTTATTAGCCATATTCAAAAATATCATGAATATTTCTGGAAAAAAAGGAGAAACTTCAGTGCCCGGTATTGCTGATAAAAAAGTTGGAGCTTTGGCCATGGAATTATTACAAGTTTGTTTCATATGTCAAGTTATCCATTCAATTAAGTCCTATGAATGATGCAACATTTACAATATTTATTTTCTTTTTAATAATAATATAGGAAGCGATAGTTCATCCGGATGCATATTTGCGTCATGCTGCTAGCGATGCATTAGGACGCCTGTTGAGTGTGGTGGGAGGCAATATGGTCCCAACACAAATGCAACTTCTTGTCGATCAGGTCGTCAACAACCGTGATCCAGACACGCGTGCTGGAAGTGCATTGGCCCTTGGCAGTATTTATAGTCATGTTGGCGGTATGGCTGCAGGAGGACATCTTAAAACTTTGATTGGAATCTTATTATCACTCAGTAGTGATCCACACCCCGTTGTACATTTTTGGGCGCTTTACGCTTTATCAAAGATTATCGACTCTGCTGGACCAATGTTTTCGCAATATGTGAGTAGTACTTTAGGTATCATTGCTAAACTTTATATGGCCGATACCCACGAACCATGCGGTAGCACAGTTGGTACTACAAATGTCAGGTTAGGCTTATCAGCATATCAACAATTTGGTAAAATTATATATGGATTGATTGGTACATTAGGTCCAGAATTACAGACAAATCCGAAAGTTAGAAATCTCTGTTTAAACTTGATGACTGAACTTCGAAATGATGATGATCAATCTGTTATTGTTGAATCAATACGTTGTCTTCAACATTTCATTATGCTTGCTCAGCAGTATGTGGATTTACCGAGATTAGTTGCATTCCTGCAGTTTCAATTTTCAAGCATGCATTTCCCTTTGAAGGAGGTTGCCATTACATGTTTATACCAACTAGTTCAACGTAATGCTAAACATGTGTTTGAGATTGCTGCTCCTGGATTAGATAATCAATTGTTTTCGCTGCTAGACACAGATCCTAAAGTTGATGGTGTGAAAGATATTGTCAAAAGCTGGCTAAGCCAGACTGCTCTTGAAAGTCCTTCATCATGGGTTGAATTATGTCGTAAGGTTATGTCAAGAACTGGGTCCGTTGCGAGTGCAGGTGCACCTGTTGAGCCACCGACGTTAGATATTACTGGTGATGGCGTTGACGAAGAAGGTGAAGGATTTGGTATCGAACAATCTTCTGGCATTAATGTCAGTGTACAGAGACGTCGAAGCCTTGAGAAAAAAGCTCATCTCTCATCTGACACCATGCAAATACCGCCCAGATGGCGAACGCAACTTTTTGCACTTAAATGCCTTCACCAAGTTGTTGAAATTGTTCATGCCAGTGGTGATAAAGATCAATTTAATTTAGCAGTTGCTAAAAAGGGTGAACAAGCTGGTAAAGATTATCTAGTTTTAAAGGTGGCTGAACTTATTAAAATGGCTTTCACAGCTTCAACAGCTGTAGTGGGTGAAATGAGATTGGAAGGTTTAACATTGTTAAGAGATGTGATTGAGGTTTGAATAATGTTCTAATTTTGTCTATTTATATTGCATATATTTTATTCTTATTTAAAATGCTATTATTAGAAATTTTCTGCAACACCTGACCCAGATTTTGAGGAAGCGGCTCTTTTAGAACAATATCAGGTCTGTATTTTCTTGCATTTTAAAAACTATTCAACTCACTAAACGAGTGCAATAACATAGGCACAAATAGGAGCGGCTTTAACACCTGCTTTCACGGCCGATTCATCTCCAGAAATTCTTTCAGCAGCTGTCAAAGTATGTGCTGTATTTGTTGGAAGCGGTATTGTGAAAGAGTTACATCGAATGGGACGTATATTGAAATTATTAACCACTGCTCTGGAAAATTGTAAAGGTATTTAATTATTAAAACTTTACACCACAAACTTATATTTTCTTTGATTAAATTTTCTTGTCTGTATATAAAACGATGCAAAGATAATTCAAGTGTGACCAAAGTTGGCGATGTTAAAGATTTAAGCCCTCATGCCGCAATAATGGTTAAGCTTTCAGTATTGAATGCTTGGGCCGAGCTTCAAGTCGCTAGCACTAAACAAGATTATCTGGTTCAAGTTGTTCAACCGTATCCTTAAATCTGTTTGATAAATTGGTCTCGAGAAATCGTATTCGATAAAATTCTTGCAGGATCATATTCACCCTTAACCT